GCTCCCATATTTAATACTACCATTGCTATTATGCTATTATGAGGGCAGCCAACCAGAAAAAGTATTATTACCAATTAATATAGTTCTTATTGGAACATTTCTAAAGATATCCAGAACACAAGAAAAAACTCCGTGAATCATCTTCATGAAAACACTTGATGAAGTAAGTTTCCCGAATGTCTCCAGGTTTTCAATGACATCTGGTAAATGAAGCTTTTTAGGATCATATAACTGCAATTTTGCAAAATTTTTCAGCAAAGATGCACATCTCTGAAAAGTTGGATGTTTTAGCGAGTTTAACTGTATTAATTTTAAGGTCATATGCTTATTTGTAGTATCTTATCCACATAGATCTTTTAGCTATCTCAATAGTTTTCTGTTTTTTATAGGGAGAAATATTTCTTTGTTTAATGTTTTACAAAAAAAGCAGCAATAAATAAAATACATAAAATAGAGGTGAAATGACAAATAGCTTTTTGCAAGTATTTGTACTGTTACTACACAATATATTAACTAACCTAGTGAAAGATCTGTATATTATGTGGCTTTTTGCGACCATAAAATCTCTTGGAGTTACTGCTGGCACAGTTCCTGCAGACGCTCTCCTCCTGTACTGTCCAGCTAAAAGTTTCCTGCACTGTTAACTAAAGGAGTGGGATGTTAAGAACTCCAGTGGCTTTTGCTAGTCTCAAATACCATTTATGGGAGTGATTCTAAATTTGCTTTACTGAATAGTTGCTATTCTTGGGATTGCAGCCAGAACTCTTCACCTGGGTCCAAACAGAGATACTAATAAAGTACTAATCTCAGAGTCATGAGCAATATATGATACTACACAGAAAAAGAGATCACAAAAGGGCTAAGACTGCATAATTTAATGACAGAAGACAGAAAATAGAGTGTACCAAATAGAGTGGATGGAAACATAGGATCAGGAGCTAATCAAACAGAGGCAGAGAGAGAAAATTAATATGATAAAAGCAAAGGGGTGTGAAAGAAAGACCACGTTCACCTATTCAAAAAAATAGGGAAGGAATTGATCTAAGTTATGCAGTTTTCTCTAAGTGCCCTACTTCAGACTGGGAACAAACAGTATACATGTTTGCATTGGGGGTGGCAAGGCATGCAGCAGCCTGTTGTGGCTAGGGCCTGCAGGTGGCAGGGGCGGGGGGGGGGGGGGGGGCAGGGGCAGCACCAGCTGTTGGGGGATGGGGCCGGCGGGGGGGGGGGGGGGGGGGGGGGGCGTTCCTGTATGCCTCCAAGTATGTCCTGCAGGCTCCATGGACTGCCAGACTGCAAAGCATAGCCAAGGGGCTGTGCCACCCCGACTGGCTAACAGGCATGGGCAACAATGCCTCTAGCCTCCTACTGCCTCACTGCAGACCCTATCCCATGTCCTGCCCTGAGGCTTCCAGAAGAGCCCTAGAACAAGTGCTCTGCCCCGTGAATTATAGGTGTCCCAGCCTGAACCACACCCCACAATGATGACCCACCACCCACACCCAAGCACACAGACCCAGGAGCTGCAATGCATACTGCTTGTCACCCTTTGCAACTCTTGAAGGAGGCTGCAGAACATCATGCACAGCCATGTGGACATGTTGTGGTAGTTGGTCTCCATGGGACACAGCTTCCTGCCCCCCGAGCCAGCAGCTATCCATCCTGCGTGGGGCGACGCACCACACTCTGTGCCTACTAAGCATCCTGGATTAGGCCAATGACTTCCAAGTGGCTGACAAGGATGAGGCCACTCAAGATGGCATGGATGCTGGGGTGCTCTGGCACTACCTCCAGACTGTCAAGCACCAGTTTCGGGCCTATGCCATCAGCAATGACTGGTGGGAGCAGATTGTCCTGGACACTTGGGATGATAAATAGTGGGTCTAGACCTTCTGCATTCACCAGGCCACCTTCTTTGACACTGCCATATAGGTGACCCCCACATTGCACACCAGGATGTCAGCATATGGCCACCTCTCACTCCAGAGAAGTGGGTGGCCATCATCATCATGAAGCTGACCACTTCCTTCCATCTCTGCTATATTGCCAGCTAGTTCAGCATGGGTAAGTCCATGGCTGGAAAGGCCAGCTGGCAGGCCTGCCTGGTCATCCAGAACCTCCTGGACATAGCCAACTGGAGGCTTGTGGGAGGGAAGCAACATGGGACAAGCAGCCTACGGAGGACGAGAAGCCTCAGGCAGGGCAAAGTGCCACGTGGCAGGGAGGCGGATCCTCATCAACCCACGGGAGGTGGTTGTTGACTTCTGCCACATGGGCTTCTTCAACATATAACTGATGAACTGGTTTAAATCACTGATTTAGATATTTTAATCCAGTGCTGTCCAACTGTCAGAGTGCAGGCCCCTAGCCCACTGCCTAGCCACCATTCTCACCATTGCTCTGGCTGCAACAGCACTGAAGTCTTAAGGCTAGGACAGCCCAGGGGCAGAGCCTGCTGGCTGCTTGGCCAGAGCAGTCAAGCACAGGCCAAGTGCTAGGGCATCCCTACAAAGGAGGGGTGGGATGGTCCGCAAAGCTGGCTGGGATGCCAGAGGACAGTGATCTAACTTGAACTGATAGGAAATTGTCATCTTTCATTCAAACAACCAAACCCACCATTGTTGCCAAAACCTGCTCAATCAATTCAATCCCATCTTCTCTTTCTTTGTACTTTCCAAACTACAATTCCTTTCAAATTCTATAATAGTAATACCAAAAAACGTATATTCTGGAAAAAAAAATGGAAAACAAAGCCCACAAGGTATTTTTAAACTTATATTAAAATGAAGTAACAGATGTGTTATTCATATTCCTATTGAGTGCCATAAAACTTATTTTCAACTGTTTTCTTCATGCATTTTACACGGCTATGATTTTTTATCTTTGTTGGAACATGCTTCTTTGGGTAGTGACAATTCAGGGTACTGATGCAGAATATAATGCAGGCTAAAATTATCTGCAACATTCACAGTATCCATTTAAATGTTTGCAGACATCTCGACCTCCAATTATTAAGGCTGTACAAACAGCTTCTAAACCTGAGCAGAATTTAAATACATTCCCAAAACAAACAAATAAGCAAATAATCTTCTTTTGTCACTTTACTATCCAAACAGTTCTAGGTAGAGAAGATGGAGCTGAAAACTAATTTTTCAAGCATGCAACAAGATCGTTAACTGATTCATTACATCCAGATTTATGGATTGCGTGTGAAAGAGGTACTTTTCTGAGTGTTTGTAAGGCCCCTAGCTCATTAAAGTCACAAACGAAATGGCTACTGACCTCATGGAAGCTAGGAATACACTCTGAAACTCACTGATTATTGAGAAGAAATTTTGTTAGGAGAAAGTGACATTTAACTGGCATAAGACAGGATTAGATTTAATGCTAGGAGCATTCAAATATTTAAAAAATCCCCAAACAAACACAAAAAAGAAGTTAAAAGTTAATAATTTCTTAGTTTACTTCACTTGTTACATTCAAAATCCTTTTTTATTTTTATCCTCAGGTTGTCCTTCCATCTTTACTTGCTATTGCCTGAAGACTGAAGACAGGTTTCTGCAGAGAATGGTAACAGCATAAATAGAAGTGACAGTACCCACTTTTCTATGCTTCTTTACTTAAGATGCCTTACTCATGGCACTAAAGAATTATCACAATGTGAAGAGTGAACTGTTCAATCTCTAAGCTGTTTTCAATTTCCTTGTGGCCAAGACAGCTGTAAAATGCATTCATTCCTGAAGGTGGGTTTGGAGAGGTGAAGACAGACCCTCCACAAACCGGACTAAGATAATCACATCCTCTTCATATAGGACACTAAGCAGGCATCAGATCCTTAAAACTTTTTGATGCTACAAAACTGATGAGCTGGTTTAAATCACTGATTTAGATACTTTAATCCAGTGCTGTCCAACTGTCAGAGTTCAGGCCCCTAGCCCACTGTCTAGCCACCATTCTCACCATCGCTCTGACTGCAACAGCAACTGAAGTCTTAAGGCTTCCTCTGGTTTTTGCTGCCTCCCCCTGGCCAAGGGATGGGGCACTGCGGAACAGCATGGCTGGAGAAGCTGAGGATGAGCCTGGGGCCACAGGCCCAAGGCAGTAGTGGGAGGAGGGGTGCCCGTGTCATGCAGCAATGGGGGAGGGAGGTAGAGAGCCCATAGGAGGAGTGCAGCATTTTGACCTAGAATGCAGCAGTAGGGGGGAGTCATGGGTGCATTCTATCTTATTTCATTTATTGAATTTCTTTTCTTTTGCTCTTATTACTTTAAGTTTAATCTACGCATGTTTGAACTCGTCTTCATATTTAGGAAACTCCAACAAAAGAAATAAATAAAAAACATAAAAATATTAAATCCCAAAGTTTAGTCAATCACCTTTTTTTTTTCAATTGTTGATTTATTTCATATTTAACCATCTCTCCTCCCGCTTTTTCCCCCTCAAAATGCTTCCATTACAAAACTAAAAACAAGAGTCTAAATACTTTACAGTGCACTAGGACTGTGTACTCAGAATCCCAGAAATACTAATGAGATTATGAAGCCCAATTAAAAAAAAAAAAAAAAGGGTCTCATTGCTACTACCCAATGTGAGGATAAAAATCACAATGTGACAAAAAGAAGAAAACATGCTAACAATAACATTTGAAATGTTCTTATTATACTTTGTAATAACAGGATATTACAATTTATTATTTCCTTGATGTCTAACCAGTTTTTCTATTTCAGTAAAATATGAATGTAAGAAAAAGGAGGTAAAGAAAATCTATTTTACCACTAAAAAAAGTCTGAATTGTGATATAATCTCTGTTAAAATACTTGGTCAACGTACAAAGCCTGGACTTCAGCAAATGAAATATTCTATAGTACTGTAATTTAGTATTAAGTTTAGGACTGTTAAAGAAGTGAAAAATAATGGGTTTTATTCATTTTGAAAACCATTATTTGACTCCAGTGATAAAATACAATAACTGGCATAAATACAATAACTTGCATAAATACCTTGTGCTCTTCTATTTGGCGTTTTAAATCCTCCAGATCAGGACCCAGGGGTTCTGATTCAACTTTCTTTGTTCTTTCTTCAGTTTTTGCTAGCCACTCAGTTAACTGTGTTAGCTGCTGATTCTGCAGGTCCATCAGGATTTTATGTAAACTTGAAAAAAAGGAAAAATGTTATTTAAAATTTGTATATGAAAAGAGCAGTCATAAATCATCAGACTCTGACTAATACTATGAATATCAGAGCCAGTCACAAACTGGAATGACAACTGTAAGTGAAACTTCAATAATTAAATATTTACATTTATCTGAAATTGGGGCAAAAACTGAAAACCTGTTTTCGAGGAACAAAGTTCCAAAATGTTAATGCAAAATGTTTTAAATGTTGATATAGCTTTCATGAGATGCTGGAACAGGCTGCCTAGATAACTTGTAGAATCTCCATCACTTGGTTGGGATAACTTAATCAGGGATCCTGCTTTGACCAAGGGGCTGGACTAGATGAGCTTTTGAGGTCCCTTCCAGCCCCACGTTCCCATGATCCTTACTTCCTTCTTTAGTTTTTTTACTTCTTTGTTCCCATGAGTTTATTGCTTGCTTGTTTGCCTCTCCAGCACTGCCTTGCATCCCACCTTGCCCTCTCTCTCCGCTTCCCTTCTGTTTCCTGTATTCAAATTTTTATCTCATTTTATTTATTGCTTTATGCATATCCTTTCACAGCATTTGATGAAGTCACAGCTTCAGCCCAAGGAAGTTTGTGTTATATGTATTTTTATCTACTTTGGTTAGTCTATAAGATGCAAATCTACCCTGTCTTCTCCATAAATCTTTACTGACAACAGCAACCATTTGTACATCCTTTTCTAAGTATACAGAGCAACTAGAGATTCCAGTGAGGGTAATTATTATAAAATACTGATTTTTAGAACACAATCAATTTATGTGATGAAAATAAATATACAGGTTTGTACTAGAAATGCACATTATGTTCAAACAACTAAAACTATACATTTAAAGAGCTAGAAGATGGTCTAAAAATGACTTTACTGAGGACAAGTGATGCTACTGGTTGAGATACACTGCTCTCATTTGCTTAACTAGTGGTAGGAAGAATAGTAACTCAGTCCAAAAACTTGATATTGTTTGTATAATTTTTATATGTCAATAAAATGACACAGATGAAGAACTGGACAGCATTAGCAATCAGGAAGCACTGTGTAGGTAGAGATTCCAAGTCTACCAATCTTAGATTTTATACTTTGCCTTTTTTTTTTGTTGGTGGGTGAAAGGCACAAGGAAGTTTCCCCTTGCACAGGAGCTCCTCTTATGTGGAGCTAATACCTGGTTTGAAGTGAAGTCTGAAAAAGTTTTAGGCAATGTAAAATACTTCTTTTAAAGAAAAAATAATGTATATTTCCTCAAGTACAACACATACCTCCCCCACCCCATTTCAATTGACAGAAATTGAACCATTATTTATTTTTAAAATCTCTTTTGGAAAAGAAAGACTCATGTATTAGGGAAAAATCACCTGATTCACTCAAGCAGATTTATGACACATTACAACCTGCCTGACATCTGATTCACCTGGTACCTGACCTGACCTCCCCACATTTTCTCCCCTCTTCTCCCCTTCTCTCTCCTTTTTCTTCCTGGTTCCCTGCCATTTCCTTTTTATTTATAGCCTCTTTTTTTACCTTACTATTACCACTGTAGTGTTTTCTCTTTTGGCCTTTTTGTCCCCCATTTTTCTTCAACCTTCCATCCCTACTTTACCTTTTGTTTTTCTCATTTCTACCCTTTTATATTTTCACTGACATCCTGTCACATAGTTAGCTTCTCTTATCCCTGCTTTTCTGATCTCCAACTATTCCCTTTTTCACAGACAGCTTCTTTTCCACCTTGTATTTTGTCACTGTTGTTTCCCTCTAACTTTTGCTTTTTTTCTCTTTCCCCCTGCTCTCTTCCCCCTCCCCTGCTTTATGTTTTGTCTTGCTTATCTCCACCTATTTATATTTTCATTAACATCCTCCCACACTTTTAGCTTCTCTCATTCCTTGCAGTCTTAGACTAGCAGAGACTTCCTATGCCTGAAGAAGGGTGATTGTGCCCGAAAGCTTGCCAAGAACTTTTTCGCAACTACTCAGTTGGTCTAATAAAAGATATCACATCTACGCAAAGAACCTTGGCTGCCTGATTCACTCAAGATACACAGAGAAAGGGAAGTGCCTTCAAGGATATAATTCAAAATAGAGCTAATTTACTAGTAGTTTTTGTATTCATTCCTTCATTCTGAGTTGGTCATAAAAGGCAGAAGTCAGCAAAAGATGACCCAGCTAAATTTACTTTTAATTAAACAAGGAAATAAAAAAGAGATTATTTAATCTTCCCTCCCCATCTCACCCCCACCTCCCAACGCTCTCTCTCCTACAAGGATAGCCTGCTCCAAAATAAAGATATGACAATTGTCTTTGGATACCCATTTCAGATTCCCAACCAGATTACTAAAATAACTAAAAAAAAATACCCTCAGAGAATTCTTTCCAAATTTTATGCTGCGCTAAGGTCTATGGGTGCTGGATAAATAAATACACAAGGCAGTCAGTAAAGCTTCTTTACTTTTATTTCATCGTCTCTTAATGCCTCAAGTGAAAAAATTAAGATAATATGAATGCCTTTAAATCTTCTATCTTTTGCAATTAAAAATGTATTAAATCTAAAGGATAAACATATGACCAGGGGAAGTGCTGTGGTTTGATTCCTGCTCCACCCAAAGTTTAAAACCAACTGCCTGGCAGTGGCAGCAGCATTTCTATTCAGGAGTGCTGAGCTAGTCACTTGACTTCATGGCTCACTGTAATCTACCTGATCCCTTCTAAACTCTTAATTCCACAGGTGTTAACGACCCTTTCTTCTTTGTAATTGTCTTTATGTTTCACCAGCCAAACTTCTTTGTTCAGCAATTCTACTGTTAGTTACTCCTGTTAATGAAGCTCCTACTTCACAGCCCTGCAGTGTTTTTAACTTATTCCAATTACATTATATTTGTTTTTGCTTCAGTCTTAAACTGAATAATAGAGCCCTATGCCCCTAGCATACTAGTAAAGCTTCTAGTTTACTTTTAACTGGAGAAAAATGTGTTGTTTTATATGTGACGATGCACCTCAGCATCTGCATCCCCCTTTTCAAAATTTTAGATCTGCCCATATAGCTGATTAGCAATCCAGACTGCTGCATTACCAAGTCAACAGATAAAGCAGCACAGCAGGTTAACACAGTTCTAAACACAGTTCAGAGTTATCCCCATGTTCCACGTCATCAGACAGGAACTCTCATGAGACTCTGCCACTTGTTCGTATAAGCTAAATTGAAGTAAATAGGTGGCTTTATTGTTGCAATTCCCCCCTCCCCCACTTTACATTAATAATATTAAGAATATTTTTAATTGAAAGGAGATGAGACTCAGGAAAAAACACCAGCAGAACTCCCTAATTTTTACATGATTATGCTTTCCTCCATCTTTCTCTTTTTCCCATTTGTTTCTCTAATTCTCTTTTCTCTCGTGGTTGAAAGGATGAGAAGCCAATATAGACTATAAGCCAGTACGACATATTAGAAGTACAGAATAATGAAGTCTGGGTACACATGTTGATTTCTAGTAGTGGAAAGCTTCCACTGCTAGAAATGATTCTGGGAGAGGGAGCAGTATAGATGCTCAGTCTGCAGCTCCCCTTCTCCTTTGCTCCTTGAACCTTTTCTAAACCAGGGTGATTCCAGTCTGGAGAAAGCATAGGCAGCTACAGTTCTCATGTTCCCAGGGGGACTGGAACAGCAGGTCAAAGCCCCCTGACCACTTCTCACACTGGAGACTCTTGTGTGAGAAGCAGGCAGGGGACTTGCACTGCTGCTTCCTCCACTCTTCTCCTGGTGTCAGAGAACCAAGGGAATGGAAGTGTGTGGCAAAGCTGTTACCCACTCCACACCTGTGGAACAAATATTACCCCAGGGAGAGGCCCTGCTAAGCCTGTCCCCGCTAGCTTTCCCTTGCCACCCGAGTTGCTCAGCTGATTGGTAGAGATGGTCATTTAGGGCACTTACACACATGTGGGGAGCCTGCTTTGATGCGCTGGAAGTCCATTCAATTAATCGAGTCTGCTGGAGCACTCTGGCAGCCCTGCAAGTCCTACGTATCAGCAGCACAGCGTGTTTCTATGCTAAGAAAATGGTGGCAGTGGGCTTTAGGCTAACATACGTTTGATGTGCTTTAGTTCAAAGTGCTCTGCCATCATTTTCTCAGCACAGAGGTGTGCTGCACTGCCAATACATGTGATGTGCGGGCTCTTTTAATTAGTGTGGCTCACTAATTAAAAGTGCCCGACGCTGTATTGGAAACACATGTAAAAATGCCCTTAAAAAGCAGTGTGGCTAGGAGTTGGGCTTGGGGAGGCTTTCCCCAGCCCAATTCCCTACTGGTTGTCTTCCTTGCTAGACCAGTTTCTCACTGGCCACCTGAGTGGCAGGGGCAAGGGCAAGCTGGCCAGGTCAGAAACTGTGCTGCGTAAAGCACCCCTGAGCCTAGCTCCTGGCCATGCCAACTTTTAAATCACTGTCCCTGCCACTCAGCTGGAGCCTGGGAACCGAGCAGAGGGAACACTGGGGCAAACCAGGAACTTTGGTGCAAGAAATAGGCAAGGGGCTACATTGCTTCCTGTTGCTCAGCTCCTGGTGCCTGGCAGCTAAACGAAGGGAGCAGCGTGGCAAAGTGCCTGCCTATATCCCACATTGTGACCTCCAGTGTAAGAATCAGATGAGAAGCATCAGGCAGTTTCTCTTCCCCTCCTCTCTTGGTCTATGGGATGCATCACATCAGCTGCCCCCTGCACCTTCTCCACACTAATGACCTTGGACTCAGAAAGGCATGGGAGCTTTCCCCTGGCTGTATTCTACCTGGTCTCCCAGGATAAACTCTCCTTGAAGCAATTTACCCTGTTAGTTGTTCCGGGGTTATTTTTCTACTGGAGCAGCCACTTTTACTCTGGTAGAAAAAAAGGTTGAATATCAGCCCATTTGTGATCTCTCCTGAGAGAAAGAGGATTTGCCTGATAGAAAGTAAAACAGCTGTATATAAGCTAAGACATATTTTCCTAGGATCTT